CCGTTGCTTTTGGTGTTTTAGACATGAAGTCTTTGCCCATGCCTATGTCCTGAATGGTACTACCTAGGTTTTCCTCTAGGGTTTTTATGGTATTAGGTCTAACATTTAAGTCTCTAATCTATCTTGAATTAATTTTCATATAAGGAGTAAGGAAAGGATCCAGTTTCAGCTTTCTACTTATGGCTAGCCAATTATCCCAGCACCATTTATTAAATAGGGAATCCTTTCCCCATTTCTTGTTTTTGTCAGGTTTGTCAAAGATCAGATGGCTGTAGATGTGTGGTCTTATTTCTGAGGACTCTGTTCTGTTCCATTGGTCTATATCTCTGTTTTGGTACCAGTACCATGCTGTTTTGGTTACTGTAGCCTTGTAGTATAGTTTGAAGTCAGGTAGCGTGATGCCTCCAGCTTTGTTCTTTTGACTTAGGATTGTCTTGGAGATGCGGGCTCTTTTTTGGTTCCATATGAACTTTAAAGCAGTTTTTTCCAATTCTGTGAAAAAACTCGTTGGTAGCTTGATGGGAATGGCATTGAATCTATAAATAACCTTCGGCAGTATGGCCATTTTCACCATATTGATTCTTCCTATCCATGAGCATGGTATGTTCTTCCATTTAACTAACAAGCAAAATAATCAGTTAATATCATAATGGCAGGATCAAGTTCACACATAACAATATTAACCTTAAATGTAAATGGACTAAATGCTCCAATTAAAAGACACAGACTGGCAAATTGGATAAAGAGTCAAGACCCATCAGTCTGCTGTATTCAGGAGACCCATCTCACACGCAGAGACATACATAGGCTCAAAATAAAGGGATGGAGGAAGATTTACCAAGCAAATGGAGAACAAAAAAAAGCAAGGGTTGCAATACTAGTCTCTGATAAAACAGACTTTAAACCATCAAAGATCAAAAGACACAAAGAAGGCCATTACATAATGGTAAAAGGATCAATTCAACAGGAAGAGCTAACTATCCTAAATATATATGCACCCAATACAGGAGAACCCAGATTCATAAAGCAAGTCCTTAGAGACTTACAAAGAGACTTAGACTCCCATACAATAATAATGGGAGACTTCAACACTCCACTGTCAACATTAGATAGATCAAAGAGACAGAAAGTTAACAAGGATATCCAGGAATTGAACTCATCTCTGCAGCAAGCAGACCTAATAGACATCTATAGAACTCTCCACCCCAAATCAACAGAATATACATTCTTCTCAGCACCACATCGCACTTATTCCAAAATTGACCACATAATTGGAAGTAAAGCACTCCTCAGCAAATGTACAAGAACAGAAATTGTAACAAACTGTCTCTGAGACCACAGTGCAATGAAACTAGAACTCAGGACTAAGAAACTCAATCAAAACTGCTCAACTACATGGGTCTTGACTCTTTATCCACTTTGCCAGTCTGTGTCTTTTAATGAGAGCATTTAGCCCATTTACATTTAAGGTTAATTTTGCTATGTGTGAACTTGATCCTGTCATTATGATGTTAGCTGGTTATTTTGCTTGTTAGTTGATGCAGTTTCTTCCTAGCATCAATGGTCTTTACAATTTGGCAATTTTTTGCAGTGGCTGGTACCAGTTGTCCCTTTCCATGTTTAGTGCTTCCTTCAGGACCTCTTGTGCGGCAGGCCTGGTGATAACAAAATCTTGCAGCAATTGCTTGTCTGTAATGAAATGAAGGCAGAAATAAAGATGTTCTTTGAAACCAATGAGAACAAAGACACAACATACCAGAATCTCTGGGACACATTTAAAGCTGTGTGTAGAGGGGAATTTATGACTCTAAATGCCCACAAGAGAAAGCAGGAAAGATCTAAAATTGACACCCTAACATCACAATTAAAAGAACCTGAGAAGCAAGACCAAACACATTCAAAAGCTAGCACAAGGCAAGGAATAACTAAGATCAGAGCAGAACTGAAGGAGATAGAGACACAAAAACCCTTCAAAAAAATCAATGAATCCAAGAGATGGTGTTTTGAAAAGATCAACAAAATTGATAGACCACTAGCAAGACTAATAAAGAAGAAAGAGAGAAGAATCAAATAGATGCAATAAAAAATGATAAAGGGGATATCACCACCGATCCCACAGAAATACAAACTACCCTCAGAGAATACTATAACACCTCTATGCAAATAAACTAGAAAACCTAGAAGAAATGGATGAATTCCTGGACACATACACTCTCCCAAGACAAACCAGGAAGAAGTTGAGTCCCTGAATAGACCAATAACAGGCTCTGAAATTGAGGCAATAGTTAATAGCCTACCAACCAAAAAAAGTCCAGGACCAGACAGATTCACAGCTGACTTCTACCAGAGGTACAAGAATAAGCTGGTACAATTCCTTCTGAAACTATTCCAATCAACAGAAAAAGAGGAAATCCTCCCTAACTCATTTTATGAGGCCAGCATCATCCTAATACCAAAGCCTGGCAGAGACACAACAAAAAAAGAGAATTTTAGACCAATATCCCTGATGAACATTGATGCAAAAATCCTCCATAAAACACTGGCAAACCAAATCCAGCAGCACATCTAAAAGCTTATCCACCATGATCAAGTGGGCTTCATCCCTGGGATGCAAGGCTGGTTCAACATACACAAACAAATAAACGTAATCCAGCATATAAACAGAACCAAAGGTAAAAACCACATGATTATCTCAATAGATTCAGAGAAGGCCATTGACAAAATTCAACAGCCCTTCATGCTAAAAACTCAATAAATTTGATATTGATGGGACATATCTCAAAATAATATGAATTGTTTATGACAAACCCATAGCCAATATCATAATAAATGGGCAAAAACTGGAAGCATTTCCTTTGAAAACTGGCACAAGACAGGGATGCCCTCTCTCACCACTCCTATTCAACATAGTGTTGGAAGTTCTGCCAGGGCAATCAGGGAGGAGAAAGAAATAAAGGGTATTCAATAAGGAAAAGAGGAAGTCAAATTGTCCCTGTTTGCAGATGGCATGATTGTATATTTAGAAAACCCCATCGTCTCAGCCCCAAATCTGCTTAGGCTGATGAGCAACTTCAACAAAGACTCAGGATACAAAATCAATGTGCAAAAATCACAGGCATTCTTATACACCAATAACAGACAAATAGAGAGCCAACTTATGAGTGAACTCCCATTCACAATTGCTTCAAAGAGAATAAAATACCTAGGAATCCAACTTACAAGGGATGTGACGGACCTCTTCAAGGAGAACTGGAAACCACTGCTCAACAAAATAAAAGAAGAAACAAAGAAATGGAAGAACATTCCATGCTTATGGATAGGAAGAATCAATATTGTGAAAATGGTCATACTGCCCACGATAATTTATAGGTTCAATGCCATTCCCATCAAGCTACCAATTACTTTCTTCACAGAATTTAAAAAAAAAAAAAAAAAAAAAAAAAAAAAAAAAAAAAACTACTTTAAAGTTCATATGGAACCAAAAAAGAGCCCACATTGCCAAGATAATCCTAAACCAAAAGAACAAAGCTGGAGGCATCACGCTACCTGACTTCAAACTATACTACAAGGCTACGGTAACAAAAACAGCATGGTACTGCTACCAAAGCAGAGATATAGACCAATGGGACAGAACAGAGTCCTCAGAAATAATACCACACATCTACAACAATCTGATCTTTGACAAACCTGACAAAAACAAGAAATGGGGAAAGGATTCCCTATTTAATAAATGGTGCTGGGAAAACTGGCTAGCCATATGTAGAAAGCTGAAACTGGATCCCTTCCTTACACCTTATACAAAAATTAATTCAAGATGGATTAGAGTCTTAAATGTTAGACCTAATACCATAAAAACCATAGGAGAAAACCTAGGCAATAACATTCAGGACACAGGCATGGGCAAGGACTTCATGTCTAAAACACCAAAAGCAATAGCAACAAAAGCCAAAATTGACAGATAGGATCTAATTAAACTAAAGAGCTTCTGCACAGCAAAAGAAACTCCCATTAGAGTGGAACAGGCAACCTACAGAATGGGAGAAAAGTTTTGCAATCTACTCATCTGACAAAAGGCTAATATCCAGAACCTACAAAGAACTCAAACAACTTTAGGAGAAAAAAAAAACCCTTCGAAAAGTGGGCAAAGGATATGAACAGACACTTCTCAAAAGAAGACATTTATGCAACCAACAGACACATGAAAAAATGCTCATCATCATTGGCCATCAGAGAAATGCAAATCAAAACCACAATGAGATACCATCTCACACCAGTTAGAATGGCAATCATTAACAAGTCAGGAAACAACAGGTGCTGGAGAGTATGTGGAGAAATAGGAACACTTTTACACTGTTGATGAGACTGTAAACTAGTTCAACCATTGTGGAAGGCAGTGTAGCGATTTCTCAAGGATCTAGAACTAGAAATACCATTTGACCCAGTCATCCCATTACTGGGTATATACCCAAATGATTATAAATCATGCTGCTATAAAGACACATGCACACGTATGTTTATTGTGGCACTATTCTCAATAGCAAAGACTTGGAACCAACCCAAATGTCCATCAATGATAGACTGGATGAAGAAAATGTGGCACATATACACCATGGAATACTATGCAGCCATAAAAAAGGATGAGTTCATGTCCTTTGTAGGGACGTGGATGAAGCTGGAAACCATCATTCTTAGCAAACGATCACAAGAACAGAAAACCAAACACCGCATGTTCTCACTCATAGATGTGAATTGAACAATGAGAACACTCGAACATAGGATGGGGAACATCACACACCGGGGCCTGTCATGGGGTCGGGAGAGTGGGGAGGGGTAGAATTAGGAGATATAGCTAATGTAAATGACGAGTTAATGGGTGCAGCACACCATGATGGCACATGTATACGTATGTAACAAACCTGCCCACTGTGCACATGTACCCTAGAACTTAAAGTATAATAAATAAATAAATAAATAAATAAAATAAGTGGTGGTAATGAGAATGTGCTTTGTTTCCCTTCTATTGCAGACAGCATAATGGACCAACGGTACCTGCTACTGCACTTTGAAGTCCAGTCTTGTGTTGCCACTGAGGCCTACCAAGGGGTAGTTCCTACCAATGATAAAGTGAGGTAGGAATAGTAAGGCAGCCTGATTCTTGGGAGAGAAGGGGACTACTCTGTCATTTACTTTGGCTGAAGGATTCATGAATGGTTTTGCTGAACATACGACCCAACCATCTTTACCTCTCATCTTCACTTGGGGTCAGACTTACATTACAATCTCATGACTCTTCCAGCCCTCTCCAGCTCCTGTCATATATTCTTTCATGCATGCATTTCTCTTAATAAACTGCCTCTGTATTCAATCCTGACTGGGCATCTGCTTCTCAGACATGGACTAACCCATCAACTCTAATGTCTTTTCCAACTCCTCCAGGATTAATCACTCAATTTCTGTGTACTCATTTTACTGTGCAAAATACAGAGGAAAGTGATCCTTCATAATTTGGCTCCAGCCCATCTCCCTGGCTGCAGCTACTATCTTTCTATGCTTTCTAGGCACCGAACTCACTATAGTACCCAGAATTCCACACCTTTGAAAATGCTGTCTCCTGTGCCTAGAATGACTTCCTCTCTAAGTTATGACAACTGCTTCATTTTATATATCTAAATTATCTCTAAGCCTTTCCTAACATCTCTAAGCAGAATTTAGACAGTGTTCTCTTCTTGAACCGATACTTTAGCATTTTTGAAGATCGGCCAGTTGTGTTTCAACATATCCTTCAATTTGAGTTTGTCAGTGGTTCCTCATGATTAGACCCAGGTTATGAGGTTTTGATCAGACTGTCACACTTGCTATTTTATTTTCATTACCATCCTATCAGATTGCACATGATATCTATGTGTCCCATTACTGATGGTGTTTGTTTCGATCACTTGATTAAGATTACGTCCACCAAGTTTCTCTACTTCTTGTTCCCTTTGTAATTGACAAATATTTTGAATGGAGATACTTTGAGACTATGTAAAACTCTCTTTCTTTACCTCATTTTGACCTACTAGTTTTAGTATCTGTTGAAGTTTTTTGCTTGGGTTAATTATTATTATGTTTATTGCCAAATGGTGAATTTTTAAAACAATATTCCTTCCACATCTTATTGGAAGCTTTCTGTTGTGTGGAAGAGCTTACTCTTCTACCCATTTATTTAATTTCTTCTTCTTATTTTAAGACAGGGTCTCACCCTGTCACTCAGGCTGGAGTGCAGAGGTGCAATCATGGCTTATTGCAGCCTCAGCCTCCTGGACTCAAGCGATCTTCTCACCTCAGCCTCCCAAGTAGCAGGGACTACAGGTGCATGCCGCCATGCTCGGCTAGTTACTTTATTTTTTGTAGATTCCGGAGTCTCACTATGTTGCCCAGGCTAGTCTCGAACTTCTGGACTCAAGTTACACTCCCTCCTCAGCCTCCCAAAGTGCTGGAATTACAGGCATGAGCAACCACTGCACCTGGTCTATCCATTTATGTATGTATGTATATATGTATTTGTTTATTTATATCAATGGGGTACTAGATTATTCAATGGGTTATAATTTGTTCTTTTAGCATTATTTTAATGTTTCATTTGTACTTTGGTCACTGGGAGCCAGTTCCTTCAAGCTTGCTTCTGTGTTCTTTTAATATGTCCGCATTCTTTGAGTATTTTCTTTCTTTCTATTATGAAAGGTGTTCCAGGCTCATCACATTCTCAGCTGCAGCCTTGGATTCAGGCATTTCTTCAAGGAGTCTTTGTTCATTTAAGTATTTCAAACGAAGATATGAGCATTAGGTGATCATTACTACTGGAGTACCATTACTCTTAGGCTTTTTCTGCAGATAACTAGGAACCACATACATTTGTATTTATATTTATCTCTATATACATCTACAGCTAAAACTAATAGCTCACTCTGGTACCTTCAGTTTTAATCTAGTATTGGTTGGGTTTATTATTCCTTTATCTTTTCCTTAATTGTAACTCCCTTTCCAATAGTAAAAAACCTTGTTCTCATTATTCGCAATATATTTATTATCTGCTCAATCTCCTTGGGTGTGGCCAATCTTCTGATAGTGCTGGGCCACCACACTCTTGGCAAGTGGACTTGCCCTGTGTTCAGATTAGCCTCCTCTGCACAGGTCTGCCTTCCTTATCTGAGCAGCCTACCTTTTCCGGCCTCACATAGGGCTATTTGACAATGGAAGGCAAGATACTAATTTATTGCCTAAATAAAGGAAAGGGAAGAAGAAGATATAGAGCTACTAACATGTCTTTATTCTTTTTTACTTGCTTACTAATTTGTTTTAAAAAGAGAAAGCAGGCATCAGGTTTAGAGCCTTCTCTAAGGAGTAGTATCTAGAATTTAATAACACTATTTGCTTTAATTGTGAGTATCTTTAGTTACTTGATCAGTTTATTTACCTTAAATATATTTTAATTGCAGAAAAAATTAAATTATTTAATCTGCCCATTTCTTAAACACATAATTCAATGAGTTTTAACAAGTATATTTTCCACATTGAGATTTAGAACATTTTCATCTCCCCAGAAAGTCCTGGTCAATCTCCATCTTTTGTGGGCAGCTACTGTTCTGATTTGTGTCAGAATTGCTTTTGCTTTCTTTGTAAATATTTTTAGAAAAAAAAGTTAATAAAAAAATTAAATAAAATTACAAATGGTAACAATAATGTGAGGAGTATAGAATTGCACAGAAGGTGTTACATAAATGATGAGAGTTGGGCACAATGACTTGTTTCATGGATGTCTTACAGAGTTTTTCTCTTTCCCTTAAAAATATTTCTGTTGCTAAATTGGAGATAGCCACCCATATTAGATATGCTATTAAATAAAAGCTCTGGCCTTTCCTCTCTACTCTTTCCATATATGCTTTTCTTTTAAGCACTATTTATATACCTTCTGTATGCTATGTGCTCTAGGGCCTGTAGAAAAATAAGAAACAGTTCCTGTTTCCAAAAGAGAGATGGCCACCATAATCTGATCTATGGGAATATTTACAAATCTGGGCCACAAATTCTTGTTGCTTCCTTATGGATGATGGCCAAAATTCACAAATCCATTGATTTGCAAGAGGATAATTTGAGAGGAATTTGAAGGAAATGAGAAAAAGGAAGAGCAAAGAGGGTAGAATTCCTATTTCACAATTTGAATGTGGTTTTTAATAAACAAAAATAGTTTTACTACAAAATTACATCTGGCATTAACAAAACAAAAAGGCCACCCATACTCTACAATTTGAGCACGTTAACTACTGAATAAATCCAAGTAAACTAAAACAATTGTTCCTCTAATGGAAAAATCAAGTTATAAACAAAATTACTTTGGGTTGAGGACTTTTGGATAAGAGCCTGGTCTTTCTAAATTTTAATACACTCCTTTTTCTCTACTTGTTTTTGACTTCTTGTCTTTTTATGGGCAAGCACCTGACCCCAAATAGGGAATTCATTTTGTACTGCAGTTGGCACATTGTGAAAAGGGATAAATATAATTCAAAAATTGATGCTATCAATAGGTATTCACTGACTGAGCACTATAAGGCAAAAATCTCTGTCCCCAAGAGCTTCTGCTGTATTGGGGAATTTTGTAAAGCAGAAATGACAAACTCCCACATAGACATTCTTTGCCTTAACTATTAAAATATATTTATGCTATGTCACTGGTTACCAAGCAACTTTTCAGAGCAAAGATCTCTCACTCTCCCATATCGTACCCGAATTTGAGAAGTTTATCCAGTGGGAAAGTAGAATGAGCTCCATTAATTTCTCCCTAGAGAGTAGGGCAATAGCAGCAGGGTCTACTTTACTTGTAAACTAAATGGAATTTGAGATAGATTGCTTAAAGCCATGAATTTTTAAAAATTATTATTATTATTTTTTAAGACGGAATCTTGCTCCGTTGTCAGGCTGGAGTGAAGTGGCTCAATCTCAGCTCACTGCAGCCTTCACTTCCCGGGTTCGAGCTATTCTCCTGCCTCAGCCTCCTGAGTAGCTGGGACTGTAGGCACGCGCCACCATGCCCGGCTAATTTTTGTGTTTTTAATAGATACGGAGTTTCACCATGTTGCCCAGGCTGGTCTCAAACTCCTGAGCTCAGGCAATCCAATCCACCCACCTCAGCCTCTCGAAGTGCTAGGATTATAGGTGTGAGCCACTGCACCTGGCCCAAAGCTATGAATTTAGAAACAATTATTTATCAACACAAACAAGGAGCATAAACTTCTGGAATCTTCTTTTTAGCTCCCTGCCCCATGTCTCTATAGCAATATCTGCTTCACTGGGAAGTCAATGAGTTAATTCATGTGAGAAAGTGTTTTATAAACCTTGCCATACTATCCAAGTGAAAGGTTGTACACAATTCCATGAGTCTGAACAGCTTGCTGCCCATGCCCTAGTATGATACATGTGTCTTTGCATTTGAGTATAAATTAAGTGTAAACTTAAGGCAATTTAAGTATGACAAGAACAACATTCACCAGTCATGTGTAATGATGAAATAAGATGTGGCAGGAAATTTACAACTGAGCAAAATCATAGGGAGTATTGACATGTCTTAAATAAAGAAAGCTTATGGCTAGGAAGGCTTTAAAGCCAAAGCTTTCAAGTTTAAGTTTTGCAGCTTTACTGTTTAAGTTTTATAAACATAGATAGGCGGTTCACTTTGCCTGAAACCATGAAGCAAATCATTTACCCATTCTGCCTTAATTTCCCCCAATCAGGTATCATAGTTACAAAGGTGAAAACAGGCACTATAGAAAAAAAATTGTCAGGCAAGTGTATACAGTATAGGTATTGTGATTCTGGGTAATGTAACTTATTATTCTGTATACCTTAAATCTACTTACTTTTTTTGCAGGTTGCATTGGAGAATCTAAAGTCTTTTGGAGATGTCCCAAGGCTTAACCTGCACCTATTCACACCATAGGCAAGAAAATTCTGTCTGACCTTTCTGCTGGGAAGAGGATATGTTTAGGCAAAAATGAGTGACCCATGAAATCAGCCACCAACATGGCTGTGTCACTTTGGTGCTCCCACAACAACTTGAAGCATTTTTCATATTAAACTTAATAGCCGACCTGTCTACCCCCTAGTCTGTGAGATCCTTCAGGGAAAGACTTTCCCTCATGTTTTACTCACCTCTATCACTCTAACAACTAGGGCAGGAGAGTAGGGGAGCCACTCAGTAAATATTTGTGAACCTGAATATGAATAGAGGGCACTCAAGGAACAGCAAAGGCTTAGAAGTATCATAAACTTCATGTGCCCAGGATGGAAAGAACAAAATTTAGTGCAGACATTTTTACATAGTGAGTCAAATGTGAAACATTTTTCAACCACAAAATATTATATACATTCGTCTTCCTCTTCCCATCCCAAAGTTTCACCTTATTCCTGCTCCTTGCCCTGTCTTTGAACTCTTCTATCTCAGAATCGGATTTCTCCCAGTACCTCAGCCCTTCCTTTCCCTCACCCCAATCTTCACCCCACCGCCAAGGGTCATGGATGTATTGAGGTCAAGATGCGGTGAAGCTCATTGAGGGAGGAAAGATAATTGGGCATCCAGGCAACAGCAAAAACTGACAGCTCAATGGTTCGATGTTTACAGTAAAATATCCTAGAATCAAAATGGTCACATCAAAATATGTATTCATAGAACAATGGCCTAGTTTATAATATCAGTTGCATGATACGGAAAAGCAGGAGAAAAGGCTAAAGTGTTAAGAGACAGTCAGGTATGAGTCTAGAAATTTTGTCAAGCATCAGTAGGAAAACAGGCTTTTGAGCAGTAAAATTAGAACATCACTATGAAAGCAGGATTTAAGTGTCATACAGCCATATTCAGCCTAACTTAGAAAAGAAAAGCCCAAATTCTGGGGCTCCAGTTAGAAGATTACTGCAGCTCTTCAGAGTGAGGTAATGTGAGGCCTAAAGGAGAAGAGCCCCAGAAGTATGAATGGGGGTGATGACCAACTGCGCTTGGCAGATAGCAAAAGGCTTAAAAAGTTGACCGTTTTTGATCATAAATGCCTGGAAGAATATCTTACCTATTGACAAGGAGCCATTTTGAAGGGAAGAATGTTGTTTTATTTTATTTTATTTATTTTAATTTTTTAATTTTTTAATTATTTTTTATTATTATACTTTAAGTTCCAGGGTACATGTGCATAACGTGCAGGGTTGTTACATATGTATACTTGTGCCATGTTGCTGTGCTGCACCCATCAACTCGTCAGCACCCATCAACTCGTCATTTACATCAGGTATAACTCCCAATGCAATTCCTCCCCCCTCCCCCCTCCCCATGATAGGCCCCAGTGTGTGATGTTCCCCTTCCCGAGTCCAAGTGATCTCATTGTTCAGTTCCCACCTATGAGTGAGAACATGCGGTGTTTGGTTTTCTGTTTTGTGATAGTTTGCTAAGAATGATGGTTTCCAGCTGCATCCATGTCCCTACAAAGGACACAAACTCATCCTTTTTGATGGCTGCATAGTATTCCATGGTATATATGTGCCACATTTTCTTAATCCAGTCTGTCACTGATGGACATTTGGGTTGATTCCAAGTCTTTGCTATTGTGAATAGTGCCGCAATAAACATACGTGTGCATGTGTCTTTATAGCAGCATGATTTATAATCCTTTGGGTATATACCCAGTAATGGGATGGCTGGGTCATATGGTACTTCTAGTTCTAGATCCAAACAAATTTACAAGAAAAAAATAAACAACCCCATCAAAAAGTGGGCAGAGGATATGAACAGACATTTCTCAAAAGAAATTCATACAGCCAACAGACACATGAAAAAATGCTCATCATCACTGGCCATCAGAGAAATGCAAATCAAAACCACAATGAGATACCATCTCACACCAGTTAGAATGGCGATCATTAAAAAGTCAGGAAACAACAGGTGCTGGAGAGGATGTGGAGAAATAGGAACACTTTTACACTGTTGGTGGGATTGTAAACTAGTTTAACCATTATGGAAAACAGTATGGCGATTCCTCAAGGATCTAGAACTAGAAGAATGTAGTTTTACTTTGAGGATATTAAGTTTGAAGTGACAAGAGATATCCAAGTGGAAATATACAGGAGGGCAGGAGTGCATCAAAATTTTGAAGGGTGTGCCACCAGACCTTGATTAATGTGTTAAATTTACTTAGCTCTAACAGAGGCTCATATGATTATGTCTGAGGAAGTATCAAAATAAGAGTGCCTACCATGTGATAAACAGCAGGTAGCCACTGAATGAGGGAAAGATGAGGTAAGAGGTATATAATCTTTGTGTAAAAATGGGGGGCTTAACTGGGATGCAAGAGATCTTTTCCTCATAAGTATGTAAGTTTAATAAGATGTCAAGCAAGACTTTTTCTATCTTGCAATTGCGATTGAAGACAATAGCTGAGAAGAACCCCATATTCTAAGAGAGAAGCTGGACATATCTCAGGACTTTCCAAAAGGCAGCAAAGAAATGAGACTACGGAATGTACCATTGGAGCAGGAGCTGAGAGGGAAATAGAATAGGTTAACAATGCATCTATGGGGCTAGGAAACGTTCCAGGAGAACTCTGAAGGACCCACAAAAGCACTCCCATAGAGCACAAAATATCTGCAGAACACACCAGTACCGGATAACAATAGCACTCTCCATGGATGAAACCTTTCTCCCCTTTGCCTCTTCATATTTTCCTTGTCCCAACCTGGTGTTACCAAGAGTAACATACTGGGGGAGAGAAGAATAGTATGTTGGAGCAGTGGAAAAGTGGGCTTTGCCAATTTTTTAACTGCTAATATATAGAATTTTGGGGTCATGGCACACTAAGAGAGGAACCTAACATTGTGTGAGAGATTGGATGTCATTTTAGATTTATTTTTAATATCTGAAATGATTCTATTCTGTTATTATTCAGATACGGCTACAAAAGCTTATTGAATTGGTCTGAGAGGACAGAGAATAGAGATCTGGCAGAATGGCTTGAGGGCAGCAGTGGATGGAAAAAAACCCTGACTTTATTGTATCCTACTTAGTTCAGCTCATTCAACAACAGAAGCAAGAAAGGTCAGGGCAGTGAATATTTCTACTCACATAGTGACATAAAGCTTAAGGGAAATCGGTGAGTGGTGTAATAATTGGGTAAATTTATGTTTTCAATTTACAAAACTTATTTTAAATCCAGTATTGAACTTTTAATCCCTTCGTGTATGTTTTGAATTATGTCAAAGTATGTTGCCAACAAAAATGTGTAGAGAATCACTGTGGAAGGGAGGAGACATGGAACTAGAAATGGGTGGGATACTGAGGCTGAGCAGTTTTTTAAAATCATCAGTCCAGAGGTGAGTGGGAGGACCTTTCCCTTAACAAAGAAATAATGAGAGAGCAGGTGAAGAGTGCATCTCTGGGAGTAGGAAAGGTCCCTACAGGAGAACTCTGAAGGACCCACAAAAGCACTCCCACAGAGCACAAAGTGTCCACATGTTCCTGGGTCACCCCCAAAGTACTTGCCTGCTACTACACAAAGACAAGGCTCAATGGCACCTTCTCCCTTTATCCCAACTTGTGTTACTGTTTTCAGCTACTACCTTTAGGTAGAAGTTAATCATATAACCTTATCCCTAGGTCACTGTTCTAAAGGTGGCTCTTTTGAAAAACTGCAAAAATTCATACATTTCAATAAATGTTGAGGTTTTTCTAGGCCCACTCAATCCAAGAGCCTGGGGGAAAAATTTTATTTAAAGTATGTCAGTTTGGAAATTTTTGTAGGTTAATAGTAGTTCCACAAAGGCCAGGTCTTCTTGGTCTTTGGAGAAAATTCACCATTACATTAAATTCCCCACACCTCTGTTTTTTCATTGAAAGAAAAGATATATGAATACAATTGGCTCTGTGTATCCATGAGTTCCATAACCATGTATTTAACCAAACACAGATTGAAAATATTTGGGAAATAAACAGTAAAATATACAAATTAAAAACAATACAGTATAACAAATATTTACATAGCAAATGCATTGTACTAGGCATTATAAGTAATCTAGAGATTTAAAGTATAGAGGAAGATTTGCATAACTTATATGCAGTACTACATTATTTAATATAAGGGACTTTAGCATTGTTGGAGTTTGGCATTTGCCAGGGGAGGGGGTGGTGGTACTAGAACCAGTCCCCCAGGGATACCAAGGGACAACTGTACTTAACAGGTTTGTGGAAGGATTGAATAAAATAATATATATCATTGCTACAGGGCTTCAGATGATTTGGAGTCCCCATACCTTTCCAACTTTATCTTATACCATCTTTTTCCTTTGCCCATTATCCTCCTGGAACTTTAGCTGTCTTCTCTTGCTCAAACATACAAAGCTATTTTCCACCTCAGGGCTGTTGCATGTGTTGTCTCTGCATGTAATTTTTTGTTCCTAACCACTAGGCTGCTAGGGAACATACAATTTTGTGACTTCAGCTCTTTGCTCCCTCTTGTCTCTCAGCTCACATGTTACCCTCTCAAAGAGGTCTTCCCTGGCCTTCTACCTAAAGTTGCCTTTGCTGGATATTTGGTATCTCATAACCTTGCTTACATCTCTCCTAGCGTTGTTTTACAATCTAATTATTTTGTCCATTTATGTATTTGCTTCACTATTTTTGGTCTCCCCCCACTGGATTTCAAGATCTTTGAGATAAAAACTTTGTTGATCTTGTTTACCTACTGCTCAAGGTAGCTAGCACAGTGCCTGGCATGCAGTAGACACTCAATATTTGTCAAATGAGTGGTATGAGTCTTCTCTGTATACAAGTATATGGGACGGTTAGATTGAACATTTCAAAATAGTCAACAAGTTAAGAAATATGGGAGAAAAATTGTTCAAGCTTATTTATATGGAGGCACAAAGTGGAGGCAAAAGAAAACTCTCTGAAGGAAAGGTTTCAAAGGCCAGGATTTGTTTAGAAAGAAAGACAAGCCAGCCGTTCTAATTGGGGCAGACAATAGCCTGGCATTCTCTGACCCCAAAGGTGACTCTATCAAGGCAGTGGCATGAATTCTCATTTGGCAAAACATTTTCAGACCAGATGAACTATGCCAAACTGGAGGCCTAGAAACAAAACACCATTTGAATTATGTCATTTCATAGGACAAGCTGAAATTATTTCACAGGTTAATACCATCATTTCTTGGTATTTGGAGCTAAAACATCTTCAACCCATAATTTTTCATTTTCAAATTAATTGGAGACCCATATGGCATCCTGGCTGAACCAGGATGTGCTCCTGGGAAGAAGAGGCATTATCTGGGTTGGCCCTGACTGACACAGGCCCAGGTGTGCTGGCCTCAGGACTTATTTCTCGAGGAGACTGGGCACAGTTAGCCACACACTTG